ATATATATATATATTAAATTAATGCATTTAGCAGATGCTTTTACCCAAATATTTTATTTTACAACTGTATTAAAATACAGTTAATATTTTAACAGTAAGAAATATATAGCAGGGTTATTATAGTTACCTAAAGCTAAAAAAAACAATGAAATCGAAATTGAAATTAAACTTTAAGCAAAATAAAATATAATATAAAAAACCTTAAACTTATTTTATTTCAGCTAATTGCCCAGGCAACGTTTCTTTTAGTTCGACAATCTACTAAAATAACTAAAACTAAAGCTGAAAAAAATAAAAATTTAAAACTACTGTATATACATACTGTATTATATACATGTATATATACTTCTTTCTTACATTTCTTAAATTAGTTGCTTAATAGTCACTGATCACAGTTTTTCAATACATGGGAAAAGGCAGCCTGGACATTTTCCTAAATATCCCATTTTGTGTTCAGTAGCTTTTTTTTTCAGGTGGATACCCTTTAAGACATTTTAGTAGAAAACAATGATGTGTTGGATTTTGTTGGTTGTGAGAAAAACAGAAAGTGGTTCCCAAATCATGTGTTGGTCTTGCTGTGAGGACTCACTCGAGTGAAGCTGATTCCACACAGGAGTCTGCCCTTCCCACCGGCTCTATCCTGCCGTTCCTCCCGCTGCCTGCTCTCTCCTCGTCTTCTTCTTCTTCCTGTGGAGCACCAAAGAAACACACTGTGAGTCAACGGTTCGCCCTCACATCTCACATAAAGCAGCCGATCTCTGGCTCGCTCTAATCGAATTGAGCGACAGATGAGCGTAATGGCTGCTGTTTTAAATCAGGGTGACTGTGAGAGTACGGCCGTGGCATCAGAGCGATGGCTGCAATCGATTATTCATATTCAATCAATCAGTCTGGGCTTGAGCCGCGCTCAGGTCTGCTGCTAATCGGATAAGGGAAGAGTTAAGTGGATGCTCATTTGTTTCTCTCGCTATCCTTATCTAATTTCCATCTCTCTGTCTTTCTATTTCTCAACCTCTTGACACGTCCGATATGTGCAGATATCATTTACAATTCTTGGAAAAATGTAGAACAATAAGGTCCTGTCAAATAATGGAGGCTGGATTGAAGGCAGACCTCTCATCAAACATATCGACAGACTGACCACAAAAAGCATGTCAGCTTTCTTTGAAAGATGACATGCTTTTTATTTATTTATTTATTTTTCCTGCCATCTTTGAAATGTTTATACATGCCGAATAGGAAACAAAGGCCCTCTTATATATATTAATTTTATTTATTTTTATTTTTTTTTGTTGTTGTTGAATTGTATTTACACCTTGCCTTTCAATGAGTCTCAGAGAGAACAATAAATAAATAAATAACATATTAATATATAAATAAGTATTTCACACAAAGAAAAAAATACTAAAAGTAAAAAAGAAATCAAATGAAAATTTAAATGTAAAATATTAATACAAATCTAGAATACTATCTTAATGATATATAAAAAAAATAAAAAAATAAAAAAAAAATTAAAAATGCTAATTAAAATAAATGTTAACTGCAGTAGAACTAAACATTTTATGTCACCAAGTTTCTAAGGCAACATTTCTCATTTTCATTTAGATTACCTAGATGTACTAAATAAATTATTATTATTTTTATTAATAATAATAATAATATGGTTACCAAAACGTTTTACTAAAATGAAAATGGGAAAGAAAAGGAAAGGAAAAACAAAAAGTAGAATATTATCTCACCAATGCAAATATATATGAAATGGCCAGGCTGCTGTATTGCATACTGTCAATGCACATAATCAAGATTCATATATGCAAACTGTATATTCAGCTAAATAAAATAAACTGAATGAATGAATGAATGAACGAGGGACCAAAGATGAACAACAATCCCTCCATCGAGTTGATCCAATGACAACTGAATATATTCCACACATTAATTCCACTCGAACCCTTGGCTGTGAAACATTTCCAAAGCCAACTGAGTGTCTAGACACGAGCGAGATTCTGCAATGGTTTGTTAGCCACAGATATTAATATTCCAGTGGTCTCACCCTTAACCTTCCCCTCTCACTAAAATGTCAAGCACATCTAAATAAGCGCTTCTCCGTCTTTATATGGAAATGCATTCAGTCTCTTCAGACAGTCACCCTCCACCACACGCATCCGCCGGTCTGAAGAGGATGACTGGAGTCCTATTTTCATCTGCCTCCATTTTTTTTTATTGTTGTAGAGGTTAAAGAATGAGTGGAGGTCATGAAAATTGTATTAGCAAACCTCGGAAAAAGTGGAGGCAGGTCTGTTACCTTATTCTGGTGAAAATGAGTCAATTGCCTCTCCAAACACAATCGAAGGTTTAGCTACTCAACGCCCAACACAATGATTTTCCTGGCTGGATTTTTGCCTTCATATCTCAGTGTTGGGGCGGAAGAAATCCTAATTATATTTGATCCAGAATTTTCAATCAAACCTTCTCACCCACAGCACTGAATTAAGAATTATCGCATCACTTAGGGTCAGATTTCCCAATTTACAGGTACAGTGGGGCAAAAAAGTATTTAGTTAGCCACCAATTGTGCAAGTTCTCCCACTTAAAAAGATGAGAGAGGCCTGTAATTTTCATCATAGGTATACCTCAACTATGAGAGACAAAATGAGAAAAAAAATCCAGAAAATCACATTGTAGGATTTTTAAAGAATTAATTGATAAATTCCTCGGTATTTATTTTTCTTTGCATTGCAGCATCATTTAGTCCCCAATTTCACTGTATATGCTTTGCATAAGAAAAAAATTAAGTCTAAATTTGAGATTAAATAAACCAAACATTTCATGCATTTTTTAATCATGTGGATTCTGAATTAAATTTAGGATTAAACGTATTTTTAAATACCAAATTCCATGAATATTGTAGGTAAAATTTTGTTTTTTCCCTTATTGTTTTTTTTTCTTTTTTGATTGTCTTATTTACAAAATTTCCCCAAAAGGAATACATACAGTAAGATAAAAAAAGGAGGAGAAAGAGTTCATCTAAAAATACTTAACCCCAAAATAAAAAGAAAATTGACATGATAAATTGCATTGTTTTTGTTTGTTTGTTTGTTTGTTTTTGCATTAAATCCTAAAATGAATTGAGAATCCAAATGGATTATATATATATATATATATAT